AATACATACATATATATCTAATATGTAAATCAATTTAAATTGCAGACCTCACGTCAAGTCGAATTAAACATGACTATGGGCTAATCGAGCTTGTATGACATTGTTGCTCAGGGTCACTTTCCTCGCTCCATTTCTACTACCTCCAGTCGGAGTCTATTTGGAACTCGATCCTCTACTCGTTGTCCTTATAGAATATTTCGACAAGAAAAACATGCTCCTATTTTTAATCAGAACCGCATTATACGTCATGATTGCTACCGATGTGATGAAAGCGGTCAACGCATTTTTCATCGTTGGGCTGATGGTTATTTGTTCAATGAATGACATCATGCAAGATCTGAACGAAGCATGTTTTACTGCACGTGTCGAGACGAGAATGAGGAAAATTGTCCTGTACAAACAAATGTTTATATGGAATAAGTATACAAATCAACATTTCTGTTCATTTTCTGTCCCACCATTAATATTTTTTGGAATTGGTGTCATCGTGTTGACATATTTTGGTTCGATTCGAATGTTTGGCACGATGGATTTTTTAATTTATATTCGTTTACCAGTTATGGGTGTATTGGGTACCTTTTTTGTTGTCATGCTTATACCCCACGCGGCGAAGGTGGTGGAATTTTCGACTAATTTTATAATTGGTGCGAGGAATGAGGTAAATTTGTCAAAATTTGAGCGCAAAACGTGGCAGTCAGTGAGACCTTTAGGAATCCAAGTGGGGGATTTTGGACACGTTAATAAGAAGTTGAAGCCATTAGCGTTAAAATATATTGCTGAAAATACAGTTACGTTATTGTTAACTTTTTAGTGTACATACCCGAGCTGCAACGTTAGCGTTTGTTAGGTAACGAGACGAAGGTACTTCAGTAGTGCGGAAATGCAACACATAATATTACTTATTAGGCGATGGACAGAATGTGTTGATTTGGTGACGAAATTTAGCGTTTGGTCGTTGGCGTTGATTTGCCACCGAAAATGAGTACCAAATAAGTATCTCTCAATCATCAACGGTATAGTGCATGAGAGCGATTATTTTTAGGTATTTAAAAGTAGTTGACAACAGACAATTTTCGTTGCATATATTTAAATATTTATTTATTTGGTTTCATAATTAAAATAAACATTATTACAACAATAAGCACCTTACAATCGTAGAAAGAATAATGAATAATATTGAATTGTAGTTATATATCAGTTGAATTTTGTTTACTTGTTTTCTATATGTATCCGGATTCTTTAGTTGTTCCTTAGCATGCTTTAAGTCCTCCTGGGTAATTAAGGGCCACAGTGGTAAAATTTCCCCTACACCAATTGATCCAGTAACTTTTGAGTTAAGTTGTTTTAAAACCAAACCTTTCACCTCCCTAATTTCTTCCAGCAAGACAAGTTGGTTTTGGAGCGACGCAGCTGGAAATGCTGTAGTAAAAAGATACTATTATTGATAAAATACTAATAATTAAGTTTTATGCAATAAAATTTTTCCCTCACCTCTAAATTCAGCAATGAGGGTTGAAATGCGCTCGTCTTCAATCGTAATGTTGGGCGAAATTAAATTAGAAATGTCGGTCGTCTGCTGAACTTGGCCTAAAGTGTATTCAAATCATAATTATTTTATGCAGTTATTTGAATAAGTTATTAAAAATATAATTTAATATTTACCTGAAGAATTTTCATCAGCACTTGCACTTGCGCCACGGGCAGCCTCTCCTTCACTGCTGTCCACGTACGCCGCATTTAATAATTTCCTCGCCTTTTCATCTGCCCTTGCGAAATCATCTAAAAAGAATTAATTAAATAATTTGGATAAATAAATTAAGTAGTACATAAATAAATCCATTAAAAATTATTGGTTTCTTCAAAGGATTTGTAAATAAATAAATCAATAATTTGTGTATAAATCAATTCAAGTTATGCATGATTATTAATTACTTACTGTAATATTTCTTGACCTCCACACCCCAAACTGGCCAATTTGGATCTGGGGTTGAGCCTGGGTCCTTTTGAACTTTTTTAAATCCTATAGGTGGATTTGCTGGAAACGGGCACTTTAATTGATCCTCAGAAAGCCATTTACTCGGCGCTACATCGACCGTGTGGTCACTTGGAAAAACTACAACTGCAAAATCTTTGAGTGACTGCGACATTACTATTTTTGCAATTTTTTAATAAGAAGTTTACTTGTCCATGCAGTAAATGAGAACCAAAGACATGCATTTGATTACCGCGGTTTGTAAGGCGTACTAAAAAATCGTTGACTATTGAATGCCAAACAAGTGTAAGATATCAATGCCTGTGTGTAGTTACTTGGGGGTGATGAGAAGGTACCTTATGTCTAACGATAAATCGGTATGGCTTTATTGGTTCTCAAATGGTACCGACGGGGCATGTTAATATCAACGCCAAGATATTACCATTAAAATGGTGTTCAACCATTGACAAATTTAAGTCGTCATCATAAGTATTGAAGAAATATTACCATTTAAACGTAGAAACAGTGAGCTTGTGCAGATTACCCAAAAATTAGTATTTGTGCAACGCCTAATTAGTATTTTTATGGTGTCAATTATTAATAATTGGCAAATCATCGCTTGTCGTCGTCTCTTTCGTCGGCATATCAACGCCTTTGGCAGCTCGGGTATGTATGTTTCATGTGAAGAAATTAATGAAAGAAGTTGCAGATAAGAATAACAATGCGTGATCACGCAATCAGTCTTGTTAAAATTACAGGTACATATATTTGCATATGTATGTATACATACACAAGATAAATAAGTATGAGAAATGTCACTTGAAGAATTATTCAGAGTTATATCAACAGTCAATATGTATTATACAAGTACATATGTAGATTTGTATGTAAATATGTTCATATAACCAGCAAATTTTCATATGATTAATTTAGTTTGCTTGAATTTGAATGATGCAAGTAATGTTTTCAATGATAAAATCGCAATAAACTCAACACGTATACGTGACAGTCCTAAATTGTCATTCGAGCAAGGATTATAGTCCATAATCCGCTTCATACATTATTTAAAATGTAATATGTCTTTGTCACATATTTTTACTAGACTTTGCCACGCCGCAGGCTCCGATAGGCTGCGACCCCAATGGTACACTCCTTGCCGCAAGATGAAGTACAACAAATCTTTCCTGTAGAACAGTCTGAATTTTGGACACAGTTTTTGCAGGGATCGTAACTGCAAACTGTATACGAGGAATATCTATGTAGGTCGGGGGGGGGGACGTCAAGGGTGCCGAAATCGACAAGTATTTTGTATTTGATTTAGTATTTTCTGCGATTCCCAAAAACTGTATTTTATATTTAGTATTTGTATTCTCAATACCAAGTATTTGGCCCACCTCTAAAAATTGGAATGTATCAACAACTAACTATGTACACATTAGCCGTAAAGCTTAATAATGAATAAACCTAATACATCTTCATATTTATCGAGAGTTTTCAATAACAATTTAACCTCCATTACAAATATGGGATTTCAGAAGTATACGAGAAGTATGCTCGTACGTAGATGTGAAGTTATTTTCATTATTTGTATGAGGAATTGTTATTGTGAATTCGATTCACTTCAAAACCCATGATGATTTGATAAACATGGATCTCACACCATGTCATAAGTGTTACTTCCTTCAATAAGTTAAAAAACCAAATTTATTGGATGGCGCGGCGGCGCCAGATAGGCGGCGTTGAGCTCTGATTTGCACATGATTATATTACCTGATCATAAATTGTAATTACATTGAAGACTAAATATTAAAGTTTGAACAACGCAACTATTACATTTGATGAAAATACAGGTTGATGCACTGGTTTTTACGCACAAGATAACCGACCATAAAATATAACTCGTGCTGCAAACGTTATCGACGTTTTCAGTTTGAGTAAATGAATTGTCCAGAATTCAGAAAAATCTTGGTTAACAAGAATTGGGTAAGTAATGCCTGAGAAAGGGCCCCCTGAAATTGACCCACTCATGAGCCACAGTTTCAAGCATGGATTATCCTGTTAACTTATTTTTGATGAGCTCCCAAGGTGAGCATATACCGTACGTTACAGGGCACGGTCCAATGTACTAAGGAAAGTTAGAGTAGTGCTAGGGGATCTCACTGCTGATTTACTAGACTCAAAAATGCTAGTCAGTTCCGTTTTTCGAAAAATTGATCTTATGATCATTGAAGAAAACCCTTCCACTAAACAGCAGATGGAAAAAAAATTACGGTATGCAACTATTCAAACAATCGTTGGACATATACTCTTATAAGATACCAAGAAGAGGGCCAGAGGTCAAGCCCAAAGTTAGAGTCACAAGCAGAACCCATAGATTGCTTTCGATTTGGACTACGTACAAAAACAAAGATATAATTTGAGACGGGCATCAAGTTTGAACATGGTCCGGAAAGCTGTAAGTACGAGTACAATACGTTTAGTCTCCAAAATATGGTAAAAGCGATGAATTTGTCCAAACGACGAATAAGGGTACTTATTACTTATTACGTGTTACTCCGGCTAGAAGCCGGAGTAACACGTTGAACATAAAAAATAAATTCGAAGTCGTCGTGTAGCCTTGTCAAGGTAGTTTCTCTCTTGCGTAAAAACGAGTGCATCAACCTAAGTATCCACTATTTATTAAGTACACACATGAAATAATCTGCAGAATTGGCTGATAGGATTGGTAAACGTTGTTTGGCTTAATGGATTTCATGTTATCACAAGTTTCATGCCATCATCTACTCTCATCAGCTACACCATCATGGGATTTGGTGTGCAGTTTTCTGGTATGATACCAGAAAGCAATACACCATATTCCATGACGCAGTAGGCAGCACACCAAATCCCATGATGGAGTAGCTAATGAGACTGGATGATGGCATGAAACTTGTGATAACATGAAATCCATTAAGCCAAACAACGTTTACCAATCCTATCAGCCAATTCGGCCGGGAGGTAAAAGGTTTCGTTTCGGACCAACGTTTGTCAATCGTTAATGAATGCCTGGAGAGGAAGCATCCGTTCCAAAATAATTCTACTCCAGCTCACATCACGCAAGGTATAGAAATAGATTTGTATTTTAGTGCCTTCTCCAAGTCATTATTAAATCAAGAAAAAAGGTATAACTATATAATGCATTAAATACCGGTTAGAAGAGATATTGTTCCTTACATATTTGTTGTATCTTTCCAATAATTGCAGGGACGAAATGGCTGAAGACAAGAAAGTACTGGCTCAAACTGTCTACCTGGAGGCAAGAGGTGAAAGCGAGAAAGGTTGGAAATGGGTGGCTTGGGTTATCAAAACCAGAGCTGCACTAGGTGCCAATGGAGTTACATACTGGGGAAAAACGGTACAAACTGTTTGTGTGAAGGGTCAGTTTGAGTGCTATGATGCAGGAAAAGATACAACCATTAAGGACAACGAACTTTACAAGAAGATCAAAGCCGTGACCGACGCTGTTTACGATGCAGAATTTAGCACTGACCCGACGAGGAAAGCGGATCAAAATCGTGGCGCAGATCACTACCATAATCCAAACACACAAGGTGAATGGAAAAAATCAGAGGGGTGGAGGGCCAATTGCGATAAGGTGGCCACCATTGGGAACCATGTTTTCTACCGATCCAAAAACCTCTATGTATGCATAAAATCTATATAAACTAACACAATATAAATTATTGTATAATTAAAATATCGATGTTTATAGGACGGCAGTGGGAAGGAAATTACATCCACTTGAATTAATTATCAGCTCTGACTCGGGCTATGTGAAGCTATGCTTATATATTACATAATAAAACCAATTAGACAAAATGGGAAACAACTGGCCTTACGTAAGAAATTCTTAGGCGCTACTAAATATTGATATGGCTTGGTTTAACCAAGCCAATTGAATTAATTCTAGCATCCCTGCCAGCTCTTATATAATACTAGTACTTCAAGCCCGTTATAACGGGCCTAGAACTTGAACTATATCCCGAGCATCACTTATAATAAATAGCAAAATGTTTATGTATTTTTTTGCAGTGGGCTCAATATTTTTTTGCATCATCGCATACTGCAATTGTTTCGATATTTATTACTTGTTGGAATTCATTCAGCTCGTTAAGATATCTATATGCATAATAGAATAAGCATGTATTTGTAGCAGTGGGCTCAATATTTTTTTGCATCATCGCCCACCGCAGTTTTGCACTCGGTTGGAATTCTATCGCACTATCTCGTTAAGATATCCCTGTACACAATATTTCTTGTGAATCTTTTCAGATCCTGGTATTAGTTTTCCATGTTCTAAAGTATTTGCCACGTATACTTTAACGTCGCATACTCGTTGAGGCCTGTGTTTCGCCCGGTCGTCGTAATCGCTTCGGCTCAGGTTCAGACTCAGGTTGAGCTCGAAGTGTAAATTGCTGTTTCTTTCGTACCATCTCAGCTAATGATACACCGGCCTTGGCGCTTGGACCGCAATAATGGAACTCCGGCCTTAGCAAATGGTACTTTAACCTTAAATACGGCACTCGGGCCTTCAAAATGGCACTTTAGCCTTAAATACGGCACTCGGCCCTTAAATACGGCACTTGGGCTTTAAATACGGCACTTTGGCAATATATAAGCTCTATGGCTATATTTTATGCTCTTTTGCAATAAATAAGCTCTTTTGCTAGTTTTTATGCTCTTTGGCTAATTTTAATGCTCTTTGGCAAAATATAAGCTCTTTGGCTATTGTGAGTATGTATATATGCAACTGTTGTGATGTATTTATGTATGTAATTGTTGTGATGAGTGTATTTTTGCAAATAGTGTGGGAGGTTGAGGAGGGCGTGAAACTTGGATAATGTGAAGAAATATGTGTGCTGCTTTGTTGTCAAAACTGACTGGGCGATGATGAGAGGGCTCAGTTTGAATTGAGAGGAAGTAGAGGAGAGATGGAAGTCACGTGGGTGAAAAATGAGATACATGAGAGAGCGGAGTGTCATAGAGCTGTGCGACCGGCGAGTTCAAAAATAGCCATCAATCTCCAGCAACAGCGGAACAACGTGGTCGTATTTTTAGTGACTCCAGCATAAATTAAATAATCAACTAATTTCAACCCTCAGTACCAAACGTAAGCATTTAATTTTAGGTAAAGCAATGCACAGAAAGATATTTTTTACTAATGTTCAGTTTAACTTGTAGAAAATGTATGGAAGTTGGCAATGTAGAGGTGGGCGAGGAGACGGACGGGTCCAACTGGATAGAAAAATTAAGGCAAACGGAACGGACCGTTCTTGGACTGCGTGTGGTTGACTAATCAAAGGACTAGCTACAACAATGATTGGTACATTATATATTTCACTAAGGATAATTCTTCTGGTCAGTGACATATTTTTAATGTTATAGCAAAATGTCCCCATCTTCATTGTGGCGCAGTGATACCCTTGCGTTTTGGACCCGCAGAGGGAGAGATTATTGCAAACGCCCTGGGGAAGGTGTCACAACTGCAAATCATTTACCCATCGTATGGCCCATAATAATTCTCATAAATAGTTAAATTCATGCTTGTGTTTAAATTCGTCTTTATATACTCAATTTTCAGGCAATTTTCTGTATTGTCAATCCTGCCGTCATTTGAATCAAGATGAGAAATAAAGGTGAGACCGGCTTCAAAAGCAAGCCCTGTTGAAGAGGGAGCATGACCTGACCTGAAGAGGGTGAATGAACAAAAAGACGCCAAAATTGCGCGATTGGAAGCCCTGAACTTGGAACTAAATTTAATTGCTGCCCAAAAGGAAGCCGTTCTGCATTCTAACCTCTTTATGGACCCTCGAGGGAATGACAATCAAATCGATGACGTATTTCATTATTAAATAATTAAATAGATACATATTGTTGCGAAATATTGTGAGAACATGTGTTTGTTTTGTTGTTATTATAATAATGAGCAGTTTGAATGGAGTGCAAGAGGAGAAAGATGTAAGTCACATAAGAGAGCGGAGACCCATTCAGCGAGCGAGCCGGGCAGTCAAACCCGCAGACAACCTTGTTTTATATAAGTCAACCTTGTTTTATATACAGTAAGTAGATTTAATTGTTCAGTCAGTTAGACTCCTTGTAATTAGCTCCTACTTTACGAAGGTGTACTCAGCAAGTTGCGAAAAGCACGATAATTATTATTTGGTTGATTCCTACACAGACAAGGTTATGCACTCCATGTCAGGTAAAATCCTTCCCAAGATGCAAATTCAAGTTCAATTATCACCCCTTAAAAATAAATCCCATTTTCATTCAGCTTCTTTATGTGTATGGAGCTTTTCCTCCGAAATACCTTGCCGCGAACCAGCCCAGTATAGCGCAAGCATATATTTATGATATGTCGGTCTCTCATTCTCCAATGTTGGAAAAAATTTAGTTTTGGGGTACAATCCGGACAGGAAATTAATTAAACACAAAAATATTAAGTGGTCTTATCATTTTGAATCAATTAATTATCTTTAATTTCTCCATATCTCCGGTAATTTATAACGCATTCCATCCAAACTTGGTAGCAAAACGTGTCATGAGTACCTTCATGAACATGCAAAATATGACTCGATTTGAACGATCATGGACTGAGATATTGCAAAAAATTGGGGTGGTTTTATCATTTTGGATCGAACCCTATGTTCAGTATCGATGTGTTAATAAATTAGTCTTCTCGTTAGTTATCAACATTCTCAACAATACGTACATACAAACCTGGAAAAAGAACAGGACCCTTATAAATACTTAATTATGATGTGTTCGTCATAGCAAACTAAATACTTTTTGCTACATGTCTACGTCGGTAACCTCACCGATCGATTGACGGACAGTTTGGCGAAAGACGGTTTGGCGAAAAATAATTTTCTCCAAAATGGTACAAAAAATTACATCAAAGTACCAGATGGCGAAATTAAAGTAACATTTGGCGAAAACGAAAAACTCTAAAAATTACATTTGGCGAAGAATAATTTTCACATCTGCATATATTGATCCATGTGCAATTTGGCTAATGGAATCCATTAGCCGAATTGCACATTTTGTTTTACTCTTAACTCTTTCTATCCCCGAAAAGTTGGAGATCGTGGTTCCATGAATTGCTTATTCAAGGGACATTCTTAAACCAAGTTACACAAAAAAACGATTTCTTGAAAATTACCAGTGTTTTACAATAATTTTTGATGGATATTTCAGAAGCTTCATTATCCTGCATAATTAATTCACACCATAAATGATCCCATGAATTATAAACGATCCCTTTGTTCTGTTGCGTGTTGACATTCCACTCTCGAAACATTGACAAACTTCCGCGCTATGTCAAGCACGGTCCGAGTACGACTAAGTATGTATGTAGTAGTATAACCTACTAAAATTTTGGACACTGACGTGGAAATTTGTGACTGGTTAACATTGACAAGCGACCGCCCACATATACGGCTCACATTTTAATTTGTTCTGGTCCACTCACAATTGATAAATTACTAAGGACAAGTAAAATCTTTCACTCAATCGTTAGTTTTCAAGTTTTTATTTCAATTGATCAATATTCTTGACTTATTTAGCAACGTAAGGTGCCAGCATACGTATATTTCTATTGGGCGTTCTTCTAATTTTGAATCAGGTTGCATTTTTACATTGATAACTATTTTGAAATAGTTTTTATGTCCATTACTCCGTAAATGTTCAAAAATGCCATAACTGTACGTGTTGACAAACATCTTTGTTTCGACGTTCCGGTCATCTTTAGAACACGAGAGAAATTGAAAATTCTAACAGGTTGTCGGAGAGAGAGTCAAACACAGACAGAGACGACAACATTGAAACTCACAACAAACTCATGAAAAAAAAAAAAAAACAAAACAAAAACATTTAAATCAAAATTACGATAATTCTCTGAAAAAATTTGAACATTGATTTGAACTATGTTCTCAAGATTCATTTCTTTTTCTACACTGGTCATCCTCTTTACGCATTTTCTACACCTATCCCAAAGTTTCATCAAGTTTTACATATTCATATGGAGCGTTTGGGGGATAGACTGCCTGTCAAGCCAAGATAACTTTCTTCCTGAATTCGACATTGTCAATCTGCTCAAAGACGTTCCCGCCTCCTGCGACGTCAATATTGCCCACGGTCTGGCCAAGGAAACTAATATCGCTCGCTTCACCCCCGATGCACAATATCCTTGGCCAACAACAATTTCCTTTGTCCCCATCCTCGTTAGCCAGCAATTGGTATGGATTGATCAACTCATGTTTGTTGTGCAGTCGTAACGTTCGAAACCACAGCCCTGCAAGGCAAACGTCGTCATAATATCACAGAAACTGAACAACTTTAACTTTCAATTTATCAACTCATTTCGATGGATGTGCGAGTTCTTGGAGAAGTATTCGTGAGGTTTCTCACCCACAATATTGTACACGTTTCCAAAAATATTGAGCCATGTAACGGAATCGTTCACGGAACTGATAATTTTCATTTCGGCCGGAAAAGTGGATGATCAAACGGCGTCCGTCAACCCAGAAGACTTCGTTGTTGCAGTCGAACTTTTTACAGTGGCAGGACTCGGTATGATTTCCCTGTGTACTGTAGCAATTCGAGAAAATGGGAAGTTTCTCGCACTTGCAAAAACCGAGTGCCACCCTCAACCCGAGAATTCAAACATATTGAAAAATACCTTCAGATTGTTCCGTGAAACACATGGGTGGACCTTGATTTATTCGACCCTATTGACCACCCTTGGGAATCGCCTACTTCAATTTCACTTTTAAAGTTCAACCCGTTTGATAGAGAATCCAGTCTGGACATTAGGCAACATTTCATCCATCAAGTGATCCGCCATGGACGAGGAGACAATGTTACCGTCTGCAGCTTCAGTAATTGCCTGTGGCCATAGGGGATAAATCCTGTCATTGAAGGAAATATCCGCGAAAGAACCTTAACGGAGGTCTCCCATCGCATTTCTATACGAACAATAGGGACCCAGTTCATGACCTGCTATGAAACCAATTTCATAACTTTCGAATTCTACCTAACACCTTTTCAAACCAACTTGTGGTTAGGAATCCTCATAGCAATTGTCACCGTTGTAGCCACACTTTCGATTTACACAAACAATCCTGGAAGCTCCGCCCTCTCCTACTCCTCATGGGCTTTGGTGCTTGGAACCGTTTTTGACGAGGCTGGCTCAATTCCCGAGAATATAGAGAAGAAGCCATTTCATCGACTCGTGTTCGGATCTTGGGCGTTGATGGCGATATTCCTTACGAATTGTTACACCGGGGTCATAACCACCGAATTGAACGCCCCACTGCCAGGTGTTCAACCGGAGACGTGGTGGGATTTGATTTGCGGGGATAGAACGCTACATGCGGCAGATCTGCCCAAATGGCTGACATCCCAGCATATTTATTGGTATTGGAATGAAATTATGGAAGGAGTTAGATTAGTTGTAAAGGATGAAACTTACCAACCCCTGCTAAAAAATCCTTACCAAGTTGAAGACTGTTTTCGATTACTATCCCCACCAGGTCAGGGTCGACCATTTTATTTTAATGAATCTGGCATACTAGTCCCAACCACGTATTTTTTCAGTACTTGTATTCCCTTTACTTCTCTGTCAAACGAGTTTTTGTTCGCAACCCGTATTTCGAACAGCCCAACGACTTTCTCACCCCGAACCTTAAAGCATTTCCAGATCTATTCCTTTTACGACCACTTCATTCACATCAGAATCCATCCAAATTATCTATTTTTAATAAAACACTCACAGAATCGGAAATACGATTGCAAATGAATCGCTCAAACGAACGAGAATTGGTTGCCTGTGGCAAGTCCGTCTTCATTTCCGACTCTGACCATATTTCCAGAGAGTTCAACTTCATCCTAAAGCATTATTCTAGGAAGCAGATAAAGTTTAAAAAGGGGAATCTCCTACAACCAGAATGGGTAGGCTGGGATTTTCGTAAAACAGGAACAAGTAAAATTCCACATCAATTTCAGCACATGATAGACACGGGAATTTGGAATCGTCTGGAAGTTGAAATTGAAATAAAGAGATATAACAGAGAGCGCAAACCTGTTGATCCTGATAAAGAGTTTAAATCATTTGAAACTGATATTTCTCAAACAATGGACTCTGGTTTGATGACCTTGTACATTTTGTGCGCAGGTGTCGTGACTGCGGCCTCAATCTCCATTTCGGTTGAGTGCAGACACTTCATTCTTCTGTTTCTCCAATTCCTTCGCCATTTCGTGGTACGAAAGGCCAAAAAGGCATGGTTCTACATAGTTACTGAAGGCATTCAGGAAAAATTCAGTTTAAAATGTGCATAATAAAATAATTCTTGTTTTTTATTATTTCTGTTAAACAAGTTACACACAAGTTTGCATTAATCAAGCCATGTGACAATTTTTAGTGTTGGATGGCAATTATTGGATACTGTTAAAAATAAATAAAATAAATATTTTTCATTTAGAGATATTTTATCGGAATATTGGTCAAGTATTCTCTGCCGCATGTACATAATGGATAATAAAATAATCTCCAATGATTGGCAAAATTTTTAATTTTTTTTGCCCCGATCTAAAAAGTTGGCGTCATCTTCCAAAAACCCCCACTCACCCCCCCCCCTTGGTCAACAATCGTCAAAATTGGCCCGACATCCCCACCCCAAATATGCTGACGTAATATATGGGCAAGCCCTTATTATTATTTTATTTTATATACGTATGTATTCATGGAACAGCCTTTAAAAGTGGAGAGAAAGGATGCAATTCCTTAGCTGGGGTGCGCATCCGGGGTTTTATGGTTTAGCCCACAAATCAGCCCGTTTCCATGGTGGTTACAAGTGGGACTAAACAGTTAGAACCCACTTCCGGCTTTTCTTTTTATTTGTATGGGAATAATGCATGACGAATGACGCTCCTAAGGAAATGTCAAAATATTTTAATAGGAAATGCTACATGCCTGAAGAACATTAATATATTGTGGGGACATACTTTTGTAAATAAATAATTTTATTGTTACGCAATTATCGCATATTAAAAATTGTCATTGCTCAGGTCTATGAAATAATGTAATTCATCCTTATCACTGCACGTGGTCTGTGGCGAGTCATATCTCGAACAATTCCGGAACACGATACAGATCGGCAGGTGCAGTTTTATGCAAACTTGCATAAATTTTAAGGAAGTGCTTTACAATAATTTCATATCGTTATTTAAACGTAATCATTTTAATGTTTTTATTTTATTTAAGAACTATTTAAGAACCCTTGTGCCATTGGATATGCAAATATTTTAATAAGTCCAGTTTTTGTAAGGGGTGTAAAATTGCAATACCCGATACACAATAGTGATTATGTCGGCCTTGGAAATCCATTATTTTCGAAAATGCGGAACGCCGGACAGGACCGTAACTGATGGTCAGTTGTCTTCTCAAGTCTAGAAGTATATAATTTAAGGTTTTTACAAGCTCAAATTTAGTAACACATGATCAGCTCACCTATTATTAGCGGTATTTGAGAACATACACTTGATGGAATGACTACCACCAGTTTTCATTAAAAAATTACATACAAAAATTAATGGCCAAACATATTTATGTAGAGTAGCTGAATTTCCTGCACTGTTAAAATGATGAGTTCCATTTTATTTTTTTTACAATCACGGACCAAAAATAATTAGTCTTGAGTACGTTTAGCGGCACGAGGTGGTTTATCTGTTTGAAAATGTAAGGGTTTCTAAAATTGGGTGTAAAATTGGGTTTTTTGTAGCGTTGTAACCTTAAAATGTTATGAAAGATCCCAGAATATTTTCAAATTTAAGTAAGTCTTTGAGCGTAAAAAATTGACATGAAGATGCAAATAAAAAGTAAATCGAGGCCTTAATAGATAAATATTTGTCCCTTGTCAATTCTATTTTCATCATTAATTCATAAAATCAAAAATGTAAACAAAACGTAATCTGTCAACAGATGGGTTAAGTATGTACATATCTGCCACTGATTAGTATTCGCGACACGTGCTTTTTCAGCTGGATGAACGCAACATTTCAGTCCAGCTGAGCATATCCCCCCTAAGCCAGGAATCCCAGGTAAAAAGTCGCAATTTGTAGCACAAATCGTTACAGGCAAATCAACCCCGAGAAGTTTGCATGGTTGGCCTTCACCTACAAAATATTAGCAAATTAAGACAAATATTTATAATTTTCTGAGGCCGATTAGTTGATGACATTTTTTGAAATATTTGATTTAATTGGAGGAAAACAAACCTTGTGATACAGCAGTTCGACAGTAGAGGGCAAATACCAGAACACCCAGAATTACAACAAATGGATATTTTTGAATTGCACATTCAGCCATTGTTTAGGACTTTAAAAAGTACTTCCTGAAAACGTAAAGTAATATCTCTACTTAGGACTCGTTAGTCTTAAGGTGAAAAATTTTCTGAAATTTTCTCAATTAAAAAAATGGTTAGGAATAAGTATGTGGTTACCTTAGTTTTGAACTTGTTGAAAAATATGTAGAAAAAAATCTAGTCGTGTTGAAATTTTATTTGACTTCCTCTCACTTTGAATGGTAAAACATAAACTGGGTTTTTTTTAAGATCAAAGTCAACCTCGAGAGGAATGCGGAACACAAGGGTCTTTTTTATTAATAGAAGAAATCCTTAATATTCTCGAATACTTTGACCCTGATATTTTCTGTTTCTCAAAATCTACGCGACCCCGCTGTGACAAGGGACATTTAGGGCTTGAAAGGGTTAAGGTTAACGTACAAAGAGTTCAAATTATAATTTTACACACGTTAAACTATCGTATGCATTACACATTAGAATATGTGTGTGAAGGTGTAAAATTATGGGATTGTCGAGTTATGCAGATATTTTTGTCTAGTCGTGTCCACAGAGCAACCGATCGGCTTTTGTAATATGTTCGAGTTATTTATACACTCTTAAAAAAAATCAATAACCGTTGGTATTGATACGTGACTCTACCGCGCGGTATTGATCCGGTATTGAATTAATACTACGTGGTAAAAAATCTAATACAAATTAGTATTAAAATTATTACCATGAGGTATAATTTCAATACCGGTTCTATACCAACATGGTATAACCGTTTAATACCAAGGCGGTAGAGTCACGTATCAATACCGTTAGGTTTTTTTCAATACCACGTTTCTAAGAGTGTAGGAAGGGTTCACCTTTACAGTTTTATAGGAATAGATTGAGTACACGAAATGCATGTACACCAACTCCACTTACTTTATACATAAGAAGTAGAGAATTACGTGTGTGGAGAACTTCATGTTCAGTACAGACTTCTCACCAGGCTTACAAGTGGTATATATCACTTACTAGGGACCCTACCGAGGTGCCGGTCGAGTCCAGGGTTCCCACCTATACCAAAATATGCACAAGACATGACCTTTTTGGTGAACTGAAGGAATTTCCGTGTAAAACTCACTTTTCGTCAAGTTGTGACGATGTTTGTGACGAGCGGTTGACCATCGAGTGCAATGAGGAGAGGCCGGCGACGCCGGCCAGTAACGCCGGCTAGTAAGAGATGGCGTTGGAAGACTATAAGGCAAATATCTGAAATTTTTTGCAGCACTATATACGGTGAACCTGGATACTTTCTGACCACTCATGGTATCTGTATATACATCAGTAAACATATACATATTGTGAGGAATTGCATCTCAAATCCCTAAAATCTCTCCTCATCCCAATGCCAATGAGATGTGGACTGGTGTCAAATTATTTCTCACCAACCATCCATGCAGAGAGAGAGTCTGAACAACGGAGACATTGTTTTGTCTCATTCTCACCATTTTTACGCTGGATGACTTCTTGCCCTTTGCGTCCGAACTAAGTAGTTATGTATGTAGGTAGGTATACAATTATGCACAGAATCTTAGTCATGTTATGTAGTCATTGCAAATGCGGACTTGGGGATGGATGTTGATTCATCCATCAACAACACGCCTGGTACAATTGTGAACGGTTACTTTCCAGGAATTGGTTGCGTGGATGGGAAATGTTCTGTGGACTGAACCAGTGAAAATATTAGTCTAGATTATGTAAAAGTTAATTAAACTTAATTAAAATTAATTAAAATAAATAGAGCTTATGCATTAGCTTTGAAATGAGCATTTACTGATATACATATGTATGCATTGAAACTTAGAATATGATTTTCTTAGGTGTTGAAGAAAAAGCCTCATGTGTTACTGATTTTTGAAAAATTACAAATATACAGAAAATACTAATCATATACATATTTTATGACTTATGTATTAACAAATGTAATTCCTACGAATTGTGAAAAATATGTATGTACTAAATATATTAAGGATATAAGATCCCAGGGTATTCGTGATTTATACAAGTTAATAAACGACTAAGTCTAAGTTAGACACAACAATGAAGAATATTTGTATTGTTTTTTTTTTCATTTTGATACAAACGATTAATCGTACTCATTATGATATTGGTATCCAATTACTTTAACAACTTAATATGATCCAATTTACACTTGTCATTTTTGGTAAGAATATCCTACTCATCACTTCGTAGATTAACATACTTTGGATTAGTTTTCAATATATTCCCCTAAGTTATCAGATCCTTTTTGAAAACTCGAGTAATAATTATGTAAGGAAATATCCATCATACCCTCTCAAAATTTATTTTGTACTTTCCCTACCATCAGAAATATCAGTATTATCCAAGCATCCATAACAGTACACATTTTACTAGCCAATTCCATCGTAAAGTTTACAACAATCTTTCCCCAATGTGTTAGCGTTTTCCAATTTTCCGCCGCAAATACAACCACCCCAAATGCCGTGACAACTCCAGACATGGAGAATGCTGGCAAGATAAGATCAAGAGAAACTACACTCTCCTCATGAAACGTGACGGGTTGTCTCACTTTCCCAAATAAATCTTGCACACCCTCAAAATATTTATCTCGTTCCATTAGAATTTTTCTTATCCTTAAAAATCGAGGTAATTGATTCAGATTTATCCACATCTGAGTCAATCCCGACTCACTCAATTGTCTCAATCCCTTTGCGAGATACGGAGTGAATAAATTCTTATCGCTAGTCCAGAAATAAATTACACGAAATGGTGACTCGCCACTACTCTGGACTACGTGACGATTTCCCATGTACTTAACATACTTTCCGTAGTATTCACATAGATCTCTAAAAATAAATACAACGAATTGTGGAATCACTGAGTGATTATGTGTTACATTTCCATGCACAATTTTCATGTACATTTCCAACGTTGAGGGATCATTGACTGACGACACCCTTGCGCCCAGCTTGGCTAAGAACTTGAGAAATTTAGGAGTCTGTCCAACACTTGAATTTAGTTCGGGAATAACTATATCTTGAAGATAAGTGTATTTAGAGCCGTTTCGTACAGCATAATTATCCACAGCCACCATAGGAATATCCAAGTCTGCCAGTTCCTCAACTTCTCGTGGAGCCTGGGGCGGATAGAGGACAGCAAGGCATGAATATATCGAACCCTGATAATAATTAACCATTAAAAAGAGATTCCCAAAGAACCATAACGTCATCAGGATAATGGCCACGTTCCCTTTACGATACGTCCTTCCCGAGCTATCGCCAACCTGGCCGAGAAATATAAATGTTACCGTGATTACTTTCTCTGCTATTAAAGTAGAAAAGTAAATCCAAGCTTTAAGAATTTCTCCCTTAGATATGGTCCAAGCTCCTCCATCAGATTCAAGTAATGTTAAGAAACCCGCAACTGAGGCAACGCTGAGCAAAAGGAAACACCAAGTCTTCCATTCGAACGGCGACACGAAGGTGGCTAATCCATTTTCAGGAGATGGTGGATTGGTCAAAGTGACGAAACTAATTGTCCGCAAGTCAACTTGATAAAGGACATATCCAAACTTTGAAGTAAAGTTAGACTTTTCCGATAAGGCTAGCCCAAAACTTTTTTTGCCATAAAGTCTCACACCTAACTTGTATTCAACCAAGGTCAAATTATACTTGGTCGCAATTGTGAATACGGGACAAAAGCCAAAATCTGTTAGGTTTGCAATTAAATTAAGTTTGTCCAGTAGTGGGTAACAATTGTTTCCTATTTTCTGAAACATAAAAGAAACATATTTTTGTAAGTTCATGTTCCGAGCGGTCCAACTTGTACGGATCTCTGATAAGGAGAATGGCGTCAAATGGAATGTTATCCCCTCACATGTCAAACAAGGAACAAATAAGACTTTTGGGATAGAGTCCAAGAACAAGACTATCTTCAGGGTGCCCACAAATTTCTCATGCCAACGGAGACACACTAAGTCTTTTCTCCCTTGTGTATAACCAAACAAGAATTCTTGCTGAAAAGCCAAGTTTGTCAACCAGATTAAGAATTTGCATTTTTCTTCCTTTTCAGATGTCGTAACTAAATTGACGAACATGACTTTTGTCCGTGTAGATTTCTCAGTGTTCCGATACCCATGCTGGGTCTTTAATTTGTTAACGTATTGGGTGGCATCCATTTCAAAAAATTCTGATTGATTCATGCCAAAATGGCGTACCGGGGCGTAGGCATTATCAATCCTTATAGCCTGGAAATATGGATGATGTTTGTCGGATAACTTGTCATTGCTAGAAGTGAACGCTAAGGTGAGATCGGCATCGAGGAATAAGTCATTCCAAACTGTACTTGTATTGTAACCCGTCCAAGCGGAGATTGTGGCGAGTACGAAAACCCAGGATGATGGCGACATTATATGTATGTCCTGGTTTAGAAGTAGACAGAAATCTCAGATTTTCCTATAGTTAGGTTACATCTGTTTAAAAATGGGGAAACAAACATCAAAAAATTTCCGAAAACTGAAATTTCGATTGTTGAAGTTTATGTATGTAAATATGTATAACCCATCCTTTGTGGATGATTCGGAATTCCTGGTTGTTGCCACAGGGTAAGGAGACGGATGAGGTACACTTGAAGAAAATAAATATCCAGGCAAAGTTTGGGTTATTTTCGATACAGACTTCTCCGGTGAGTAGATATAGGACTGCAAATTGGGACAGCGATATCTGTACGTAATGGTTGGTGTAATTAGTTTGAAGCCAGAAATGATTATCGGATAATTTGTTTAATTCTAGAAGTTCGTTTTTAGAAACATCAGTAACCAGAGGAAAATGTACATTAAACACATATTTTCGCTCGTCTGAATATGTTGTCACAAAATCATAGTACGGATACTTCACCCCCCGGTGATATCTCCAGAATTCAAGGATATTCACGAAGTTATTTCCTAACTTAAAGGCATCGTTAAGTAAGAGATAGATGTTTTCACAAACCCAGCCTCGATTTTTAAAAATGTGAAGTGGACGTGGTTCGTGGTTGATAGATATACGTTCAAATTCAACGTCTACATCTTCTGAAGAAATATCATTGTCGTAAATAGGGGGCTTTGTTAAAGTTATGGGGATACTAGCAACACCATGCAAATTTTCGGATCCTAAGGTATGGAAAACTAGATGTTTTCAGCCATCCGTGTGAGTTGGAGGGACTAGGATTTAGTTTAGGAGTTTAGGGGAGAAATGGATAATATTCCAGATAATGTGACAGCGGCATTGCGAAGAATACGGTAGACTAAAATTAGGCTTTTTGTCAGTCGGGCCAACATCTTTTGTTACTATTGGCTGCGAATAGTTAAAAGATAAAAAGGACAAAAAAAACGAATTGCCTAACTAGACATTTTTCCTTATTTAGGCTCTTTACTTTTCGAGTACGAAGTACGGACGAATGAACGTTGAAAACATTCCAGTGTCGTAAGACGTACCCTTGTACAATATTATCGGATAAATTTCGTCCATTATGCTTCCTCGGATAAAATATGCCATGCTCCACAAATGGTCTTGCCAAAGAAAAGTAGCAAGTCCTTGTGATAAATTAGAAACTATACAATTAATTGGATTTCTCTAAAATTGTATTTGTTATGTGGATTCATTATCGTGAAATGAGTAGCTTTAGAACTATGTAGAATTGGCACAACAGATACATGTTTTTTGCGCCAAGTACCAAGAACTGTGGATCAATAGAACTCATTTATTCAAATATCCAATCCAGATGGACCCTGTTATTTTCCGAATTTTGATTACGGAAAACGTATCATTAATTTGGAACTTGGTAGGAATGCGATAGAGTAGAGCATATGTAGACACCATACAGTATTAGAAAAAAATAATAGGTTCGGTGTGTATCATGACATGATTACTATTCATGTAATAAGAATTCTTTATACTAAAATTTTACAAGTACTTAATTCAAAACTTTCAGATTAGATTCGTAGAGTTGCTCTCTAGTTGAAATTGAAGACAAATTTTACTGATTATTACAAATTACATCAGCATCCACATTAATTAAATTGACGGTCAAGCGGTTCCCGTTTTGAACCGTACCAACCAACCTCTGACCACCTCATGGATCAAGAGGTATAGTGGGATGAGATGTTTTACGCGGTTTTTAAACATCTGATCGAAAGGCTTGCACTTTATGGCTGAGAACACAACTCTGTATGATACAATCACATTAAAAAATACAAATCGGGTTCAAACTCGGGTTCAAACCCGTGTCTGCAAGATCGAACCCGGACCCGAACCCGATCCCGAACCCATCGAATCGGGTTAAACTTTTTGAACCCGAACCCGAACCTGTAACCTGGGTTCAAACCCGAACCCGTGCCGAGCACTGCGATCGAAAAAAATTCAAAATTCAAAAAAACTTCTTCCATAGATAAAATTCAGAAGTTGAAAGTTTGAAAGGTTAAATTTTTGAATTTTGCAAGAAATTTTTTTGAATTTTGAAATTGTTTTTGAAATTATTGAAAATTTTTGAAATTCTGTAAAAACTTGTTAGAGTAGGTCCAAATCATATGTTCAGAAAATCGTTTCCATATTCAGCGAGAGGGAGAGAAAAAAACTCATTTTGGTGCATCATCACCATCGCGAGACAGTGTCGCAGTGGTCGCCTCACGTTGCCTCTCTCTCTCTCGCATTTCACCAACCAACATCTCATTTTTTAATTTGTTTGAATTAATTAATTTGTTTAATTAATTAATTTGTTTGAATTAATTAATTTGTTTAATTAATTAATTTGCTTAATTAATTAATTTGCTTAATTAATTTGAATTGATAAGCACCTTGTTAACCCCCGCAGCGATAATTTTTGAGCGCAAGTCATCATTACTAATTAAAATAAGGGTAGGTTTCAAATTTTTTATGATTTGGATAAGTCGAATTAGCTTATCTGAAGAATTGATAAGCACCTTGATAAGCCCCCCAGCGCTAATTTTCGAGCGGAAATTATCATTATCAATTAATATAACAATAGGTTGTAAAATCTGAGAAAGTTGAGCAAATTTGAATTTGCAATTATACGTCTTATTAAAGGCCATATTTTATTACGGCACTTGCGGTATTAAGACACTCCCCCTGAAACTTTGAATCCAAAAAACTCATGGTTGCGGTGAATTTCAGTCGGGCAACAAAAGGTGAAAATGTAGCCCATTAAAGGGAGAAAAATCTGGCATCAGGTTGTCAGACTGAAAATCACCGCAACCATGAGTTTTTTAATGATTTCTGAACCCCATGTACAAATGAACATCCCCACATACATATTCTACGGCCACTGTTAATGATGTTAAAGGAGCACAACTGGACCTTCCTAGCCTCGCATACACTGTGTCCCAAATGTATCTGCGCTCGACAGGATATCCGTCTTGTGATAATGTTTGCATCCTAACTCGTGTGTTCACGAGACTGCATGACATTTGAGGCCATTGGGTCAAGAAATGTTTAAGAATAAAAATAAACACAAAAGATATAAGGGAAAAAGTGGATGAAAACCGCGCGCGCGAGTGATGCGCAGATACTTTTGGGACACAGTGTAGATTATTCCACTCGAGTGGTATTAATTGGAGAACGTGTTTTGTTGGACTCGGTTGGATGGTTCATCTTATCAAGAAGTAAATTAATATAATTATCAAATTAATTATCCAGAATGAAATACATGACACGGTATTATGATTGACGGAGAAATTTTATTGTTCATTTTACTCCCGAAAGATAAAAAAACCTGATTGGTCGATTTGATTGACGTTTAATTATTCGTGAGCAAACAGATGCATTTATCTGATTGTATTTTAACGCATTTATATTTTGATTCAGTCCAGTCAGACATAACGAACACGACCGGTAACAATTTCGTGTACATTTCCAAGAGATGAAGCTAATCTGGATTTTATCAACCTTCCTGGCAACCACGTCCTGTGGTGTGGTGGATTATACACGATGTGGTAGAAAAAAATATAGAAAAATATTTAGGGAACTCACGTCACAGTTTGTAACCTTAGTAAATAAATGTGTATGGTTTGAAAACTCAAAAATATTTAGAAAGAAAATATTTAGGCGGACACACTTTTTAGGAGCTGTCACATTTCGAAAGCATGTTTTTGGTGTTTTTGGCTACAAATTTGACTACAAAGTTAATTCACGTCAACGGGTTATACGATATGTAGGTTACAAACTTGACGTGAGTTCCCCCATTGCATTTAGCAGAATATTTTGGATAATTAATACCCGTAATTATTTTGATATGATAATTACTTGTAAATAATGAGCGGTAAATTTTTAAAATAAATCCAGGTGGATCTGGAACTATTTGGCAGCTGCGGGTAACGGATTGTGAGGGTCCACTCTGTTACATGAAGGCTGGGACGTCATATCCCATTCAATGGATATGACTCCCAATATCCCGATACCTTCCCTGCGCCTCAAAGTACGCGCAATTTACCTGGGTCACCAAGTGACCATTATTGACGCCGTTCTCGACAATTCGTCCATCCAGCCCGGGACGACGTACACGATCCAGTACACCCTCACGCCGTACGAGGTCGTGTGTGAGAACACGATGCGGGTTAGTGCCGAGTTATCGAATACAGCAAGCGGCGTTGTCGAGGTGTGCGTCGCATTTCAAGTGCATGTGTCTTGTGACGAGGAGGAGGAGGCAGGCATGCCGTTGGTTATTAAATAATGTCTCGTGTTGATCATACCTGTCCAATTTTTTCCTTCATTCATAATTTATTCATTCTATGAATAATTCATTCGTTCATTCATTTGTCCCATGTACTTAAGATGCAGCAAAAAAATGAATGAATAAAAAACACTCATTCATATTGAAATCTTGAACTATTCATTCATTAAATGAATTATTCACTCATTCATTTTTCATTTCTTAGTAATTAAATGAACGTTAACAGCGATGTTATTGATGAAGAAATCAATACAATAACTAACTAACTAATAAATCAATACAATACAATAGTAAGTATGATGACGTGAAAGTTGACAAAGTTTGGGGCTCTCAGGATTTTCAATTTTGTTAGATTTGTAAATTTTGTTAATAAATCGATCATTGGAGGATAGCAAAATAAATATTTTAGTTAAGAAATAAAAATATTGTCACACTTTGCAAAATTTATTTTTTTTAGGATTCCAAAATTTTAGTAGAACACTCTCATAAACCAATTAAATACTTGATTTTGAATATTTTCAACAATTGGCTATGTACATTATCAAAATTAATACATATGTATTCGTCCACCTCATGGATTCCCATTTTCTGCCCCTCGAACTGTCCCATTCCTCCTGTGACTCATCATATTAATCCAATTCGTTCTGTATATTTTCCTCCAAGTGTAAAGAAAATTATTTCCCGACATTTTCCAAATTACCACGCCCCCAACAATAATAAGAATGGAAATTATAATCAAAAGAAAAATTATCCAGAATGCACAATCATTTTCACTTTTCCTAATATTTTCGCAAGATTTAATCCCTCCAAAACCCTTATTAAAACCCAACCCACCCAAAAATTTCTCCGATCCTATAACCTCGCCCATAAACTTGGTGCAAGTGCTATCATCATATAAACGGATGCACCCTCCACGATCCACAATAATTGAGCCAGGGTTACTCCACCCGGGCGGAAATGGGGTGCATAATTTACCCGGGTTTAAATTTAAACTGGTAAGTCGATCCCCGCCAAAGTTCTTGTACTTGAACAAACTAATTTGTTCGCTCTCTTCAAATTCTTTCGGCGGTAGGACATCTTTTATGGTTAAATTGCAACTTCGGTCGCAAAAAGAAAGCCCTTGAGATTTAAATCGATCCGCCCAAAATATCAATTTTTGAGGGTCCGAGTGTTTCCCGCCAGTTAAGTAGGTTGATAGTCCTGTACAATTGGAAAATTGGTGAAGTGTGAGACAAGCCGAGGAGTAGATTTGTACTCGGAAAGGGTCATCTGTCGGCCATTCGGCAAGAAATGGCCCCGCGTTGAAACAAATGTTAGGGCGAAGGTTAATATTTGCAACTGGAGTTTTGGCCGATCTACCTGAAAAGAAAAAATTAATAAATAGATTATTGATAATACGACAAGATTTTAATACCAGGAGGAATTAAATTTTAGGATTATTTTGACGTATTTTTTTTTGCATAGTTAAATCGTAAATTTACCATTTCACGACAAATTATTATAATCCAATGTTATACTATGTAAACAACATTTATATATATAGATGGTAAATGAATGATGAAATCATACCTGTTCACTTTCATTCGAAAGAGCGATTATGATAATAGTGAATAAAAATGATATTGGTTTTATCTGAATGATCATGAATGAAAAGGTCACTCATTTTTTAACTAATAGTGAATGAAAATTATCATATTACACATACATACATGGGGCATGTGCAGAATAATGTGGAATGATATAAAATGAAATGCACGTGATAGAAATTGAATGAAAATGTGTGACAATCAATATTCAGAAATCAAAATGATATGACTTTGAATGAATTTTTTTTTTGAATATGTGTAGATCAAATATGGGTATGTAAATATATGCAATATTTTTGTCCATATATTTAAATTTTGGATAAAAAAAACACACCTATGTATGTAAAGTATAATTCATACCATAAAATTTGACATTCATCATCCCGGTCTTCATGTCCCCCTCGTATTCGACCCTGTCTGGATGACAATCCTCAAAACACGACCCAACCGACCGGACATTATTGGAAAAACCGTAATTCGTCAAAGAGCCATGACCCTCTGATCCTGGCCGCACAAGTAAATATTCCCCCGTACAATGTGTCCTTTTGTAAAGCTGGAAGCAATTGTCGTTCGTATTGACGCTACTGAAATTCGAGTCAATATCTACATCCAGACTTTCCAAGCAGCCTGAGACAGTCAAATTTTTCGAAATTCCTGCCAATGTTAATACAATATCTTAAATTCAAAAATTATTTTATTAATTTCAAAATTTTAATTTTAATTGATAAAATTTATAAAAAAATTCAAATTATATTGTACCACGTAAAAAAACCTACCTTCATTTCCTTCCTCAGTATAAACCGTGATTACAGATTGGCACAACGTGCCTGGCAAGATATGAAGTAACAAGAGGAAAATATGTTGCAATTTTGGGGCCATTTTACACCGAAAATTTATATGTATGCGGAATAAATTTTCCCCCATTTTACTTAGAATTCTGCTACTGCTAGTTTAGTATAAATGTTTTGCAAGAAGAAGTTTGCACATAGATTATACACATCTAATAATTCCAGGAAAATATTTGTTAAATCAATTACACGTGATGAATGGATGCTGACTGGGGGTTATTTTTTGTGATCACAAAGAGTTCACAAAAAGTAGATCCCATCCATGTTATTGAGCCTTCTACAACATGTCGTATACAGTGTGCATTAAATATAAGAAAATTTATACTTGATTCCACGAAATTAAATATCTATTCTATCCACGACTTGTTCTTGGAAGGACGGCAGGTTTGCGTGCGTAGTAAATAATTTTTTGCATCATGTACGTAAAATAAAATAAAAGTTGGACAAAGACTTAATATTTATCATTGTTAACAAATAAGTTATGCTAAATAGGAGCTGATGGTAAAGTATGTACGCATGGTAAATGATATCTGTATGTATTTATTTATGTTGGATGAAAGAGAATCAATCAATGTCATGTTTTTTTTGTCTGCCAGCTTTCTCAAAAATATGTATGACAAGTTGTATTTTCCTTTAACTGTTGGCTATTATGGGCTTGACTAGAAGTTAAAAGTTTCAAAGCAATATAGTACAAAAATATGTGTTATAACTACATATGTACATATGCGAGCATTAAGAAAAATAAGGGTGATGATTGTAAACACTTATCTTTCTTGTTTTACAAAACGATATAAAAAACGGTCATCTATAAAATATATTTCTTTCAGTTATTGAGAATTTAATATGGTAAAAGAGTTAATTATATTAAATTGTTAATTTCGATATATGTATCTGTAATGAAAAAATGAGTGACATGTGCATTTGTGTCAAATTACAAATTGAGACAAAATTTTGTAAATTTAGACAAATCTACTAATTTGAGTTGTATATTTTTTAAACTTTCATAAGGATAGTGAATGTTTCGCAATTTAAAAAAATTATATAATTGATATAAATATGTAGTTATTTTCAATACAGAGCAAGGGCCGGCCCTGTTGCAATTTTTAAATATTTAAACCGATTTATTTTAATGCATACATCAAACCTAGTGTGATTAATTAATTCGTTAGACTATGTACATCAACACATATGTTACTGTGTGTCTGCTGACATTTTAGGTTGCTGATTCTAAGTCGAATAAAAGTTTCATGGGTTTTATTGTGCTTGCACGAATTAATTACATGGGAAGCAGAGTGGCCACTCACACTCACGGTAAAAAATTCACATTAAGAATACCACCGTTAACCGTATTTTGTCCTTCTAACCTATACCAAGTTATTGATCCAAAGCTTAATAATTTTACCGGGGTAAGGGGTAATTTTATCAAGTAGGTTTCATAGACCCATCTGTTGATTTTTATAAAATATTTCGCTTGAGTTTCTTGCATTCCGGGGATGAAAATGTATGTACAAAGAAGCAAATAGCAGATAGATACATGTAGAAATATTAACTTTAATAATTACATATGGGAAATTCCATGCTACCTTAAAAATAGCGTAAGTAAATTTTTTGTAAGTTAACGAGCTTTAAATTTTGTTGATTTTATTATGTAATTTATTCCGTTTGCCCAAAACATGGAAATTTTTTAGAGGGGAAAATTTAGCCTTGAGATGATTGAAATTGGCAGTATCCATGTCCATCCTTGTCCGAGCATGAATAATGATTGTCAATGAGTGCTATACAATTTTCGGCATATTTAGCCGGCGATGTTGCATCTGGTGGATTTGGGCACTCGTAAATTACATCCAAGTGGCATTCCTCACCATCGTATTCCGTGGGCATGGCTACTTCCTATAAATAAACAATTTTATATTGGGTTAATTCTACTTGTAGCGTACATATTCTCTAAATCTCCCCCGCCAGGTGATTAGATGTCCCGATTTTATGTACACAATTTTCAATACATGATCCACCAAAAGCAATCTTGAGGTGTCTGATGAAACTATTTGAAGATGAGTAATAGGGCAGAAATTGCTGAAACTCACCCTTCGTTTCCTGACGGGAGGAGTGCCTTGCAATCTGTTGATTTCTGATCCACACTGTCTGCCACTTAATACATCGTCATCCTTTTTACACACGCACTTTGCTCCTGGACTGGCTTGGGAGGCTGTAAGTTTAGGATATAATACATATTTACATATTTAAATTGTCTGTAATTCGTCTGGAAGGCAATTCCTTTGTGGACGGATAAGATCATAAAAGATCTGGACATCAAAATTTAAGGTAAATTGAATTTAGCTATATTTTCTCCAAAATTTATACATATCGCAATTTTGTAATTAAATGCGGAAATTGGTGTATTTTACCAGAAATCAGCACCACAAGAAAAAGTAACATCTTCATCTCGGGACGAATTGATGTCTTCATGGAGCTCTTCTACTCACATATGTACATATACCAAATGAATTTTTTGAATGCGTATAAAATGCAGGATATTACTTTGGTTTTTGTCAAACTGGTTTGAACAATGGATCATTGTTTTAAACAAATGTTTTATAACAGGAAATAAGGCATTTCGTCATACGTGCAAAATTATACGATCGAAGTAGAATTGGTATTTCCGTCATGGGGCAAAGTAATGAAAGTGGAGAGTTGCTTCGTCGAGAAATATGTATAATTACCTAAAAGGTACTTTTGTTGTCAAAATTTATAATGTTGAAGATGTCCAAATTGAAAAATTATATCAGTCTACCCCGTTCTTGATCAGATTATGCGCATCATTTCAATTTCATGTAAGAAATTCTTGGGCTAAATGGAATAAATGTCTTGAATTATTAAAATTTGCGATTTCCTGTTTACTATCATACCTTCTATAAAATAAGTGGATATTGGAGCTATTATTATTTTATGCACTGCTATTGTACACCCTAACCAACGTTATACGATGTACATAGCTCTATTTATGACGTAGTGATTTCATAACCTTGCGGTTTTAATAATTGTACGCGAAAGTCAAATACACCTCTTAATGGTTCTTTAATAAAATTGAGTCCTTTAGGGAACATATGTAGTTTGATTTTGCAAATCATTGTTGTAACCGCTCATACATATGTAACACCATCGTTAACTCAAAACAAAGATATCCCTTGTGTCTCCGGCTTGTACATAATAAATATTTAACATGTTACTTTGGTTGTATTTTATATTTACGTATACGTAAATTTAAGTATACTTAAATTCAACTATCTCCATTTTACCTCTTTTAATATTTCTACAAGGTTCGCGTAAAGTTGTAAGCGTCTCAATTCTTCCACGCTGGCGGTTATGTATCGGGCGGAAAGTTCCTAATTTAGAGTGCACATATTTATGAATTCCATCTTGACGACAAGCTTTATTCGTTATGTTTTCCACGGCGTGGGCTGGTATTAAGGCGTTGAGGACGCCATGAAACTACCCGTAATCATGCAGTAATTGACAACAAACAAAAATTTGACAAGAACGATTCGCCCAAGACCAATTGATCTTATAAAAGTTGACTAATGTTTATTTTAATAGGAGTTGTAAGTTAATATGAAACAGAGGTCGACGCCGCCGATCTCGCGCCGCCGCCGCGCCGTACGCCGGCAGCATCTTAGGCGCCGCCGCCGCCGATAAATCCGTTTTCCTATACCTTTAACATTGGGACGCCGCGCCGCGCCGTATGCCGGCAGCATCTTAGGCGCCGCCGCCGCCGATAAATCCGTTTTCCTATACCTTTAACATTGGGACGCCGCGCCGCCGACGCCGCCGCCGCCGCCGAGAAATCACCCAAAATTGGCGCCGCCGCCGCCGAAAATTGGTCGTCGTCGACCTCTGACATGAAATAAAGACTTAACCTTGCTGCTGGTCAATTTTTCTATACTAACATCTTTACTATTTCTTGCTACGAAACATTGAACAACCATCGGGTTGCCTGTATAATTATTTTGTCTCAGCTAAAATAAGGTTTAGAATTTGCTGAGCGCAAAAACTGCCCATTATCATAGGTGTGGCACGTTCGAAATAATTACTCGCCCCGATGCGGAGGTGAGCAACTTTTCAACCATCGCTTCGACAATCGAATAGTTTTACTTTTCACTAAGGAAAGCTGCCATTTACGTAGGAGTTTAACAGATCCATCGTACGTATCCCCGGCACTTTTGAATTCTGTTAGCAGGCTCATCATTCCAATAATGGTGAGCTGAATTCGCATACTGTACAGGGCAAAGGGAACTCGGCCAAAGTATCGGAGAATAATGTACCATCCTGTGATAAGAATGCTCATCCAGTCACAGATCATTACTGTTGTGACGACGTGTGAAATGCAGTAGTTGAGTAGTTTTGTATATATTTGAAAGCGGCGGTAATGGAGGAAGGCGACTTCTTCAAAGGGGGCGATTTTAGCTCTGCTAAAGATTTTGAGTAGTTGATATCATACACAGATTTGGCGTAATTTTCTTATTTTAGCCAAAATAAAAACTTACTTTGCCACCCAAATCATAAACATTTTTAAGGATAAAGGGAGGTAAAGCATCATCCCTAAATTTGCCAAGGCTCCAACAGCAAACAATTGGTAGGTAAATAAAGTCTCAATCACCCCTGAAATGTGAATGATGAGGAAATCATTTTCCGTAGATGGTGTCCACCTCGTGGTGTTGCAGGGGAGGAAGTTCCAAGAAAGAAAGATAGGTTCGCACGGATTAATCGTGGAAAACTTCCCTGCCGCCAGTGGAAAGGAAACGATACTGCAATACACCCAAATGCTATGGAGCTGCCACATCTTGCCAAAAAATCCTTTAATATAAATGGTATTCATGCCTGTAATTAAAATTATATGATTCTTATTTTCGGTTATGTGCCTTGATCTTTACTTAAAACATATATGCATTGAATTTAGAGCGTGTACTTGGCAAATTATTGAGGATGAGTAGAAAAAATCTTACCTTCATCCTCGAATTCTCTCTCCAGTTTATGAGCCTCATTCATCATCTCAACTATTTCTTTCGACTTCCTCGTCAATTCAAACCTGAACAGCGTAGTGCAAACCATAGGTCCCAACCAACCAATATCGAGTCAGAGCTCAACGTCGCCGATCTGGCGCCGCCGCGCCGCCATACGCCGGTCACTTTTTTCACGCCGCCGCCGCCGGAAAAAAGTGTCGGCGCGCCGCCTCTAAAAAAATTTGCCCGCCGATAAAATTTTTGTTTAACTTTTTAAAATTTTTTAAAATTTTTGCTAAAATTTTTAAAAATTCAAAAAAAAAAAAAAATATTTGAGCTTTAACAATAATTCTAACGCTATAAAAAATTAATTCTAGTAGTCAAACATTTTCTAACGAATTTAAATTGGTTTTTGATCGCGCCGCCGACTTTATATTAGGCGCCGCGGCGCGCCGCCGCCGCCGTGATCTGGCGCAATTGCCGCCGCCGAGTTATACGTCGGCGTTGACCTCTGTATCGAGTAGCTTATGGATCAGCTGATACTCGCGGGATGGACCTCTTTGTAGACCTGCCAACCTCATCGAGAATCCAAGCAGATGATAGAGAGTTCTCGTAATGTACATGAAATACGTCAACTTGGTGATTGCTCGTCTCAGTTTACCCTTAATTTCGACGACCCTATCCTCCTTCCAAGATATTTTGAAAGGAACGACACAAAAGGCGCAAAGGACTTCGAGAGTGAAAAGATTCATCTTGTAAGCCTTTGTATAGAGGGCGTTCTTCAGTCGGGATTGGATTTCACGGTGAATAAAGTTAGTGCAACTTAGCAACTTGTTTTGCAAAAAACTCATTTCAATCGTGGATATTTTCTTAGATTAATAAACTAATCTGGCACCTTTGCTAACATGATAAATTATTTTTAAATGTAACACAATGTAAATCAACACCACGCAGGTTGTAGGAATTTTCGCAACATATATTACGAGTGTTTCTGCGGTGCACTTTAGGGAAACAGTGTAGTATGTATATAGAAATGAGTGGATATCGAGGACAAAGTGAAGTTGGGTTTTACAGATATGCCCATGGAGTCAAGCTGGCAGTAACGTACGCAGTTTCATAGGACAAAAATTGAGTAAGAGAAGGCCATTTAGGAATCGTACTAATACTCGTATATAAGTTTTAGGATAAAAAGAGCATAATTAAATTATTATATTAGTCCAGACATAAAATTAGATAAAAATGTAGAATATGTAGAATAGATTGAAACGGAGACACTGTATAGCGTTCACGTTATCGTAGGTTGATTTTGAACATTGGGACAATTTTAAGAAAAAAATCTATATCTATGTAGGCACTTTCTGCTTACTTCTAGGTAAACCAATGACTTGATGTCGAGAAAGGTTTAGTTATTATATTCTTTTATTTATGCCTACAAAATTAAGTAATGTGTAATCAACTTTTCCCGTCGATAAAAAAAACTGATAGTTAATTATGACTCTCCCTATGCTTCGTATCGTTCATTTTCCTTAAATTTTTGAGAATAAATTATTTAAAGGCAGTTATGACTTGTCAGTTCCAAGGAGGGAATTTACTTCCAAGTATGTATTAACTTCGTGGATTTTAGGTACTTTCGGTATAGGTTTTGTGTTACCAAAAATAGAGTCCGCTTCCGAGGAGACTATGTCTATCGTTAAAATTTTTAAGCTGTATTGTTTAAAGCAGGCAATAAATACGTAAATGTTGTGCATATAAAGTCATAAAAAATTCTAGGGAACCTAAATAATCGTAATACATAAAGGATTATTCATATATTACGCTAATGTTTTAGAAGGGGGGTGTTTTAGGTGTTTGAATATTTCCGCCTCCTGTGGAAGGTGAGCTGTACCTACGTCCAGCACTTGTATTCACATTGGTCACATTAGGAAATTGGCTTCTTATTGGATGAGTGGACTGACAACATGTAATAATCTAAACCTGATTCTGACCTACATATATATTTTGCTACACGTGTTGCATGGATGGTTGGAATTCCGCCGGGTTGGTTTATTCTGGTGGATACGCTGAAATAAAGTATAAAACATTATGTAACTATATTTGTGTAGGAATGAAACAAATTGGTAAATTCCAGATATTGTCAGAAATTGTAACCCAGCCAGGAAATGAACCAACAGTTCTTTAGAATACATGTCGAGTACTCTGACTACAGTGCAACCATGGTAAAAATTTAAAATTAGACGCTTTTTCCATCAGCAGTACATACAAAAAATGGGGTAACGTTGAGATTTTGAGTCATAGAGTCAAACTAATTATATAATTGGATTCAGCTTGAAATTCTGAACATTTTCATGTTCGACTAGAATTTCCTATCGTCAAAAATTTAAAATTAGATCCATCTTTGTATGTATTGTGTATAAAAAAAGTTATCAACCATTGGTGGACATCCAGCTTAACCTGTTGGCGTGGCGTGGCATCCTATGATGCTAGTTAAATTTGGACCGTTAAGACGGCCTGGCATCTATTATTGACAATAAAAATCTTGCCGATCAGGTGGGCCGTCATCATATGACAACAGCGAATTTTTATACGTTCCGCTGGGGTGGCATCTATGATTGACAGAAAAAAACAATGCTAGCCTGGGACTGGCATCCATGAATGCCACTGCCGGTCACTTGAAAGAGTTTGACCTCTATCGAAGTTTTCCCAGCAAATTTTCATGTACCAAGTGGCTGGTATATAAAATTACTCTCAAGGGATGAAAAACTCTTATATGATCGTTATGTTCGTCTGCACGTTGGTCTCTAGTTTTCGTTCTAACTTTCGAACGGATCAACTTTTTTAAATTCTGTTTCCTGATGTCGACATCGAAGTTTTGGCCCGATTTAGGGCTTATGTACCCCTCTGTCTGTCTGTGTGTCCAGGCATGATTTGGCCAAAACGGCTGAACCGATTGACCTGAAATTTTGCACACGTATTACATATGTATCCAAAATTTCGGAAATGGTAATGGTTTCACACGGGTATCTACTAGCTAAGACTCTACTGTTCGGAATAATCGTAGTCGGGTCAGCAAACTAAAATAGAAGCGGTTTCCGACCCTGACTAGGGCTATACGAAGTCTGCACGGTAGATTTTCTCAACTTTTTTCAAAGCTTCAGTCTTTTTCAAAGTTTACAAAATTTACAAAATTTGAAGGTTCTGAAATTTTCAAAATTATAAATTTTTCAAAATTTTTTAAATTTTGAGAAAAAATTGGAATTTCGATAAATTTTGAGAACAACTGAAATTGTGATAAATTTTAACTAAAAATGAAATTTTGATATATTTTGAAAAAAAATGAAATTTCGATAAATTTTTGAGAAAAAATTTGAAACCAAAGTGGTTTTGAAAAGGGATTTTTAAATCAGCAGAGTATTGCAAACAAAAGATATTTTTCAGAAAATATTGAAGTAAAAAAAATTGTTTTCCTGAAATTGGCACATTTGCATGATTAAAATCAGAAAATATTGCTTTAGTATTTATTTCCCTATTCTGAACCCCTCCCACGGGATCGCATTGCAGTGGGAGGTCCATGACCCCAGAGAAGGCTAAGCCCATGGTGCCAGGCCCCCCACTGTAACCAATTGTAACTCCTCGACCGCTACCCACTTGAACTATAAATAATTTATCGCACCACCCCCACGCCAACAGGTTAAGAATAAAGAATAATTAAGATTAGGGAAAGCTACTTGCATATTTTACGTAACAATTTTATGTAGAGTTTCCAATGAAATACTAGCTTAGGCAGATGCAAATCAATCTTTTTATTATGTCCATGCAGTGTTTTCTTACTTCTTTATTTGTAAAGGAAATCCTGAATTTTTCATCATACAATATTCTGAAATCGACTTAATTACTCCGCATTACTTGAAAGCGTTCGTGAGTGAAGTGATAGTTCCTTCCATACTACCATCTCATTGGGAGACAATTTCCATTTATCCTGAGACCACACTGGGTAGCTGTTTCTCCTCGTTGTCGTCTTTTCCCATATATCGTTATACATATTTGTCTTCTTCCTGACCCTTTTTTCCAACTGATTTTCCTAGTAGTCTAGTTCACAATATTTAGGAGTATTAAAATCTCGTACCAGATTGACAACATAAGTGTTTGAAAATAAAAATTTCCAATTTGCGAAGATAAATTCGAAGCTTGAACTCGTGTATCCTTGTTAAAACAAGTTCATTCAAGCATTACGCACCCAGATGCAACTACCCACCATTGTTGCGTCTTGTTTCAGAGATGAAGCCATATTTATACATATGTATGTACGTACATACATTGTGGAGTTTTACTGAAGCTCCTCAGAATTAATTTTTTGTACACAAATATTTTTATTGGTTTTGCTAATATGAGAAATATCTAGCGTATAGCGGGGAGCAGATAGGCGCCCCTGCCGCCCAAGCGTCCCGGGCGGTTACCCTGCTCGCCCACCCCCAGTTTAGGGCCTGGATGAGCTACACAATATCATCTATGATTGGATTAAAATGAAAATGATTCTTTGTTTTTCTTATATATTTGAGTCATTTCATCTTTCACCAGGGCAGCATTTTGGAACCTTTATTACCAAACTTGGTTGTATAGTATAGCCAACATACTATCTACTTCAAATTAATTGATACATTTTGGGGAATTTGATAAGTTGCGGGATACTACACCCACTTATTGCGCAAACAGTTAAAAAGTTCTCCCAAAGCTTTGCTTATATTCCAAGTAATTTATACAAATGTGCGGCGTAGACGAAGATTGAACTTATGTTAAATTCAACGACATCAATAGAGTACGAAATGCTAAAATTTGTAAATCCGTTCTCATAGTAAAATCATGTGAAATTAATTATATTAAATTTATCAGGAAGAAATACTTTGAGCTAAAATTTTACAAAGGAAAAGATTGCCTGGCTTTGATTCCGTTCGGTTGTAAAGAATTCTAAAGCTCCGCTGGATTTTCAGTCTTTGTTTGAATTTTGAATTCATCGACGACTCGAGTTGGAGATGCAGCGCCGAATGTATTTCTTACGGGGGAGCACATTAATAAATCGAAGCCGAAGCAAAATCCATTGCGATTGGATTCAAAGTTTCTAACTTCCTTAATTTTATGCAGAGCCGTGATTTGTTGAGTGTTGTTGCTGAGTTGAGAAAAATATAGTTTTTGGTTACTATGGCGATAAAAGTTAAGCATATTGTTGGAGTATTCTTGCTAAATGGCAGGATATGTATAATTCAATATGTGCAGTGCAACCATTCTTAGGTTTATAAACTAACTGTAACTTATTTATTGCTTAAATTATTTAGAAATATCAACATATAAGAATTTATACGAATTACTTTTTGTCAATGTAGCTTAAGTAGGAGCATGATAATATCCTATTGTTAGAAGGATTAGCAAAACCTTACATTTGGCAGTTACATAAATATTTTAGTTTCCCCTCGTCTAACCCAATTGCCTCTTTGTCCTTCTCCCTTCAACCATTTTTGCCGACTGAATCTGATTATACTTAGCAATCGCCGTGAGCGGGAAGTACTTTGGGTAACCGAAATATTTAATATACATGATATTCGGAATTCCAACCCCAGTCATGACACTCTCATCCCAATATCCGTTGTCCTGTCTTTGTTTTCTTAAAAGGTACCGAAGTCCCAGTTGCACCGCGGGACTGTCCTCTTCTCCCACGTCTAACAAACCAAGGAGTACCCACGCCGTTTGAGATGCCGAACTATTTGCAGGGACAAACTTATCAACGCTTATTTCATACGAAGTAACACTTTCCCCCCATCCGCCGTCCTCATTTTGAACGCTTTTCAGCCACTCGATCGCCCTCTGGACGGCTACCCCGTCATGGTATTTGGCTCCAGACTCAGCTAAACCCCACAAGGCGAGATGTGTCCCATATAAGTGGTTCATCCCCCATCTTCCCCACCACGAGCCGTCGGGGCGTTGTCGGTCTAAAATAAATTTCACTCCGTTCTGTATTGCTGCATGTAGTGAGGGGAAATCCGCAGCTATGGATGGATTCCTGACAGCATGGGCTAGGGCGACCAGGCATCTCCCTGTTATATCGACGGTAGGAGGGTCAAGGAGTACGGCGGGATATTCAGCAACAAAGGGAAAACTTTCAAAGTAATAGTGAATATTGTCGGCTTCAAAGGCACCCCATCCTCCGTTTACACTCTGCATGCCAAGAATCCATTCGACCCCGCGGGAAAGTGTACTTGGTTATGACAGGGAAATGGTTCTGAAAGAGGAACAAGGTTAGGTATGTTAATATTAATGCATATATATAATTACTAACTGTACATGATTGATATAAAAAATTAAGTTGGCACTAACCTGATATCGTATCATTGAAATAACTGTAGACGAGGTATCGTCCAAATCAGGGAAGTGTGGATTCCCTAATTGAAAAGCCCACCCACCTGGCCGCAACAGTGGTCTCTTTCCACCCCAGTGACCCCTTAAACTTAATACTTGCTGCGTTGTTAGCCAATCGAGTCCCTTCTCGATCCCGACCTGGCTAGCGTTGTCAATCTTATGTGATTCCATCAAAGTCCTCGCGATGAATGCCGTGTCCCAAACGGAGGACTCGAATAGTGTCGAGGTTGCTTCTTCTATTCCTTCAATTTCCCGAAGTCGCAGCGCTTCTCGAGCCTCTCGTGCCTTCAAACTGTTACTCAGGCCGAGTTTGTGATACATAATTAGTAAAATTTCTGTCGCCGTGCCCGTTCCGAAGAGTCCCCCGACCGGGTTTGTCATATCGTCCAACTCTTTAACCACCCTCTTAATCGTCCACTCCCTCACGGCTTGTGGCACTAGTTTATCCACCACTCCAAGTAATGGCATGACTCGTCGGAATATTCCATGCAAATAAGGATTCTGAAACGGTCCAATTAGCGAATTATCCAAAACGTTATCTTTGTTGATGAACAGCTCGTCAAAATCTGTTAGGACGGGAGACTTTTCAGCTAAATCTACACTTCTGGAGACTAGCATTATCATAAATCCCAATCTGACAAAACTTCCGACATTATAGGTACTAACGGGCGTCCATGGTGGGATGAGTAAAGCTTCCAACGGTATGGGTGGGATTGCTTGCCAAGGTATAATTCTGGTCAGGGCGGAATAAAGTTTTAATAGTACGTTCATTCGTTCAGCCCCTCCGTGACGTAAGATCCGGTCACGCGCACGCGTGAGAAGGGATGAATTTTTCGAGACGCCCATCTGCGTCAAAGCAATGTATGCCTTAACACTTTCACTGAGATCGAATTTATCCTCGTCAGGGACAATGGACCAACCGCCGTGGTTTAATTCTCTCCTGGTGAGGTAGGTGATGACCTTTTTTTCAAAGGAGGGACGTGGAGGTTCCCCAATGAAACGGAGCGTCATGATGAGCAAGGTGATGTCGAAGGTGTGCACGTTGGTGCCATAGTTCCAGTGACCGATGGGATTTTGGTCGGCAAGGAAGGATTCGGTGCCACGGAGGAGGGCGGTGTGAAGAGGGATATCTATGAGGGATGGGGACAGGGAGGCGTCCCAAGTAACTTGACTCATTTTTTAAATATTCTTCGTCGCGTATAGCTGATTAGTGATGATTATGCCAATTTCTCACCGCACGGGGAACTTTTTTATACTTGTACGAATTTCTTGTTACAACCACGGTCTGTACCTGCGGATAAAAAGGCACATAAGTATGAGAAGTTTGTAAATTTAAGGGCATTTACATTGTGACGTTGAATATGTCCTGAAAAAGTAAAATTTGGCAAAATTTTCAAAAAATGTTAGTAGAAAATATGTCAAAAGTTGGATAATTTTACGTTGCCAGTGGAACGTGTGAATACCTTTTTTATGTCTGTATGTAAATGACCGTTCATAAAATACGTAACGCAAGAAAGGGGAAAGAGGAGTGTAAGGTCCCCTATCTCAACCATGTTAAAATCCGTATCCAGTAACGTGTACATGGACGGTCTGTACAATCCCGATTTTTGCATTACGTATTTTATGAACAGCCCCTAAATAAAAATTTATAAATTCAACCTTCATTCCAACCATAAAATAAAAATTAAACGTACCTATTTATTAGCAGTAAATGTTTTATTATGGCTGAATTAAGAGATCTAGCCTCTCTTAATTTAACAATGTGACTGGTCATGGTCAATCCCATATTGTTGGATTTATACGTGAAATTTGACACAAGTAAAAAAAAAATTGCTGTTCTGGACCCCGACTTTTGGTGAGTACATACGTCATCTTCTCGTCTAGTTTACATATTTTGTTGGATATAAGATAAAGGGAGTAAGAAGCAGTCTGGATTATTCCGTTGCATGACAATCAGTGTCAGTCTTTATAAAATAATAAGTAAGTTGCATAGCCTACCTGGCCCGTCGCACGTAGGTAGGTAGACAAGACCAGGGTCACATAATGCGAGAGATTTGTGCATATGCCTGTCCAAAACGGAGAAGCAGGTTTCATGGAATATTTCATCCACTTAAAACAACACTGCTAACAAAGAACCAAACCAGTTTTTACTTACTTCAGACTACCGAGTGTTGTTTAAGAGAAGGATGATGATCCTATTTTACATACTTGGTTGCTTTTTACTTGTTGTGTGTAAATTGTATGTAACTGCGGTGATGTGGGGTTTGCATGTGTGTTACAATACTTCTTATTGCATCTTGTACTTCATAGATATTTCATAACTTTGCGATCCCACGCCGCAACGCTCACGTAGCTGAAATCATCCTCGCATGTATGTATGTATTCATACATACACGATTTTGATGCGTCAGTCCTGTGTATTTATTGACATATGTACGTACGTACGTATCTTGTTTGCAATTGGTCTTGTCATTACTTGGAGAGGAGGTGGATTGCTGTTGCTTTGTATTTTTCACAAGTTAACAGGACACCCAACGACAAAGCAGATCACGAACTGGACACATATTTATAATGTAGGGCTTCCCATGATAAGACGTCTCATGAGATGAGATGAGACGACAATTTCGTCTCGATACAAACTGAGACGAGACGTGAGATGAGATGAGACGGCCTTCATCTCGTCTCATCTCGTCTCATCTCGGTTTTATCGAGATTTTTTTCGTTTGTGTTTGTGAGAAAAGTGTTCATAAAAAATTGTTGTTATTATAATCAAAAATCTTACCCGGAAAAAAAATTTGGCGCCCAAACCTTGAAACTATAACATTTACATAGGTTATAGGAAAACTTGCAAAATCATATTTAATAAAATCATACTGTACGTACAGTATTAATACCATAGACCTAGAATATATAGACTGAGGACCGTTATCCTGTGTTGACCAAGTAAGGCGGAGGGATATCCCCTCGTCTGGGGGCGTATTCAATGTGTGCTTTAAGATTTTTCCTAAATATTGGCTTAAATTGGGGCTGAAAACTGGTACTGAATACGCGTTCGCATTTATTGGTGATGGTAAATTTAAGATTCGTGCGAAAAGATGGATTAACTCTTCCCTTCCGCAACAGAGTGCTCGCGACCATCAGGGGTAGGCAAGATACTTCGTTAAGATACAAGATAAAAGATACAAGATACAAGATAGTATCTTTATCTTGTATCTTGACCACCTGATCGAAAAGTATCTTGTATCTTTTATCTTGTTGCAGATGAAAAGTATCTTCTGTAACTATCTTATCTACATGAAGCCCGACAAAAATGTATCTTAAGATACTTTACAAGATACAAGATACTTTTTTCAAAAATGTATCTTAAGATACTTTACAGGATACAAGATACTTTTTTCAAAAATGTGTGAAAATTGTTGAATTTATCGAATTTATTCGATAAATTAAAATATTAAATGTTTTTCTTACGACGACTAATGGTCAGCCAACTTAAAGTAATTATCTACCCAGAATTTTGCATTTGCTATTGCATAAGAACATATAATTGATATATATGTGTACACATATATGTGCATAATACTATTATTTTGCAAACATTACAATACAAACGCATATGTGTGTACATATATGCATACAAAATTTGTATTACAAATAATAGTTGCCAATTTATGCACAAATGTTACATAAGACTACACAGGTCCACAATCTAAGAGTAGGATGTGGCAAAAAACATTACGCACTCCTCAAGTACAGATATGCAAATATAGGCAGTCGAAATTTTTTTAATTTTTTGATACAAAAAATTTGAAAAGTTTTAACTGTGAATCACAGTCTGTGATTACTAAATATTTTGAATTTTGCATTCGAATTGCATTAAATTTATTTCCTGGGTTCGATTGTTCCACCTAAAATGTTGAAAAACTGAAAGTATCTTAATATACATATCTTGTATCTTGTATCTTAACTACATCATCTGGAGAAAAGTATCTTGTATCTTTTATCTTGTGTACGTGAACAAGAAGTATCTTATATCTTTTATCTCGTCGGACAAAATATCTTCATTTTGTATCTTGTATCTTACGGACAGAGTATTTTGCCTACCCCTGGCGACCATCAACTTTCATTCATCGCCATGATCTTATATATATTGTCGACACCTTCGATTAATACTAAGGAAAATCATCTACATAATTACTCTGAGGCCATATCACTCATTTTGTTATACCATCTATAACTTTTTCAGCTCATGTTTACATATATAGGAACACAGCCTGTGTTCCTACATAGAACCAAAACTTTATTCCTCATACATACGTACATTTTAAAACTTAATAGGGATTTCTTATCAATTATGTGGATTCCACACAAATTACAGAAAATATTCAGCGGCTTAAAAACAATCCAATTCGACCAATTTGGTTGTTACACGCCGCAGTACACATGCAATGTTGCAATATTAATTATTTACACGGACTCGACTCTGGGTGGGCACAGTTGAGAAAAAGTAAACAGGTTTCGGAAGCAAAACAGAATGTAGGATTTTATTCATGTAGATACAAAATGAGCCAAAAGTGCAAGTCTTTTTCGCATCGATTTCACCAAATTGCACATAAAAAATTACAAATTCAGTTTTGGGTGGGGGGATTAATATAGCATAGCTGTTTTTGAATTATATTCAACCACACCCCCTTCAAAAATTGGGGAAGAAAATTGGGAAAAATGAGAAGGTCAATGTACACTCGGTACAGAAAGAAGTAGATACCAACTTGCATTTGACATTTGACTTCCCTCATGAATATGAACATTTTGATGCATCAAGACTTTCAAAATTCGAAAATTGGCGGTTTTTCGACCTACATATAAATCGTTAAAAAAGTGACCTTAGCGGTCATTTCGCGGCTGACAACCTGATGCCAGATTTTTCTTCGTCAGAAGTGCCACATTTTCCGCTTTTGTTGTCCGCTGCGAAATGACCGCTACCATGACTTTTTTGCAGTCAAAGTTTCTGAGGGAGGGGCTTATACGGCAGGAGCCGTAACAATGTATAGGTATTTATGATATACATAAAGGTAATTACATAGAAGCTATTAAAACAGCCTCAAATCGCCCCAAATTTAAAACTTAAGCTTTTCTGAATTTATAATGATGATATGCATTCGAAAATTAACGCTATGAGGCTTATCAACGAAGTTATCAATTTTTCAGATAAGCAAATTTAGTTTATCCAAATCGCCCCAAACTTAAAACTTAAGCTTTTCTGAATTTATAATGATGATATGCATTCGAAAATTAACGCTATCGGGCTTATCACTGCGCTTATCAGTTTTTAAGATAAGCAAATTTAGTTTGTCCAAATCTCCCCAAATTTAAAACTTAAGCTTATCTGAATATATAATGGTAGTATCCACTCGAAAATAAACGCTATCGGGCTTATCACTGCGCTTATCAGTTTTTAAGATAAGCAAATTTAGTTTGTCCAATTCGCCCCAAATTTAAAACTTAAGCTCAACGATTTATCAATTGAACCAACTCGTGTACAGTAGCTACAAAAGTTAGGCTATGGTATGAACGTGGTTTGTTCAGGTCCCTTTATTTTGTTCAAGTTAAGCTACCAAATACATATGTTACATGTATTTTGAAGGAAATTTATCAAGGAATCGAAATATGTTGGCCATTTTCCAAAATCTCTAAAACTGGCTGCACAATTTTCGGAGGGAGCGGGAAATCTGTGAATCCGAGGCAAAAAAAGTTAGCATATGGTTAAGGATTTTTGAATGTGGAGTTGAATTCTTAGATTTTCCTCCATTATATTTTCTTGGTAAGTTAATTTCCAACTATATATGCTGTAATACAACTACCAGCTAAACGAATAATTCATTTTGTGAAACTAAAATCAAGGTGAAAATGCGAGGAAACGAGTTATCGCTGGAGCAACGGGGGAAAATTATTTCCTTGCATCAGAAGGGTCTCGGATACATAAAAATCTTTCAGAATTCAAAATTCATGGTGCCAGCTACTCAAAGAATAATCCAGAAATGGATATCAACAGGATCTGTGGCAAATAAACGGCGAACCGGACGTAAGAGGAAGACGACTCCGCGGATTGATCGACAAATTTTAAAGAAAATAAATTCCAATCGATTTTTATCTGCACCAAAATTGTTGCAGAAATTCAAAGCCAACACGGGGTCTCCATTTCTAACCAAACAGTCCGAAATCTCATCAAAGAAAAAGGTTATAAGGGTGCAGTCGCGCGGAAGAAACCTTTCATCTCCAAGCGCAATAACTTAAGCGGCTTCAGTGGGCCAAAGATCACCCAGCGTGTACCACTGATGATTGAAAACTGTTCTATGGACTGATGAAAGCAAGTTCAACATGTTCGTGACCGACGGTGTGACCACAGTCTCATGTAAGGTCGGCGAAAGTCTTAAGCCCAACTGCCTAAGAAAAACCATCAAACACGGAGGTGGTTCTATTATGGTATGGGGGTCAATGAGTACAAATGGTGTAGGAAAATTGCATTTCATTGACGGCATTATGAACAAGGATGTCTACCAATCCATCCTACAGAAGAATTTACTTCCATCAGTCCGGAAATTAAGAATCAGAGGGACTGTTTCTTTCAATAGGACAACGATCCCAAAAGTACCGCCAAAACCACCAAGGAATGGTTCGCCAAAAATGAAATAAAAGTTCTTCCATGGGCTGCCCAGTCATCAGGTCTTAATCACACACAACATTTGTGGGCAGAATTATAGAGAAAAATTGCTAATCGGAATCCTAGCAACAAGTAACACTTAAAACGGATCCTGGCAGAAGCATGGGAATATCTTGACCCAGATTTTACCAAGAAATTAGTGGACTCCATGCCACGACGTATACAAGC